TATCTAAAATATAAAAAATGTAAAATACACTTTTAAGATTTTGAGTACAGTACATAAGCACATTCGGTACAATTAAGCAGACTTAAAAATGTGCACCAAAGCACCTAGGTTGGAGCACAATGCTCACTAGATCTACACTCTAAAAAATGCTGGGTTAAATACAAGCCAGTGCTGGGTAAAATAGGGACAAACCCAGCAATTGGGTTGTTTTGACCCAGCGGTTGGGTTAAATGTTTAAATGTTTAACCCAAATTTCTGGGTAGTAACCCAACCGCTGGGTCAAAACAACCCAATTGCTGGGTTTGTCCCTCTTTTACCCAGCACTGGCTTGCATTTAACCCAGCATTTTTTAGAGTGTAGTCTAACGTGAAAAGTGAACTTGCAACTTGGTGACTGTATATTTCTACAGTAGAATGGTAAAGCAATAATTCAGTTTACTCAATTTGCTCACCCTTCTCTGTTCCAAACATGTGTGATTTTCTTTCTTCTGTGGAACATAAAAGAGGACACGTCTCAGTTTTAACGGGCACCAAAACTGTTCTTCTGTGTACTGTAGAAGAAAGAAAAGGCATGCAGGTTTGGAAAAAAGGAGGGTGAGTATCCCTTATCACTCTATTTACTGTAGAAATACACACAGTCAGCATGTTGCAAGTTGACTTTTCATGTTACACCAGATCAAGTGAACACTGGGCTCTAACCTGTGCGCTTTGGCAAGCCCCTTCCCACACAGATGGTGATGTTGCTGGGGGGAGGATGCATGTAATTTGGGGATGGATGAGGGAGTCTGTATGTCATCGTGTGTGTGGTTGGATGTGTGTGTTTTGTGTGTAGCCTAGGGGCACAGACACACACACACACACACATACACAGCAGACTGACCTAGATGAAGTCAGAGCTGTCAGCTGACTCTGTGCCTGGCCGTTCCCTCGCTCTCTACCCAAATGTGCGGCTGCTGTATTCACAGGATAGAAACAGACATGGACTGTGGTTAATCTGCCCCCCACACACTCCACACACACACACACACTGAACGAGTCAACCGCACCGCTCCGCTCCTGGCTATTGTATGGAAGCTTTTGTCTGGTGTGGGGCGACCATTAGACTGAAGTGTGCTGGGATCTTTAAATACACACTGGAGCCTTGTCATCAAAAACTCTACTGCAACTTTAATTCAAATTCATCTGCACAGTGCAGAGTTGAATGAATCAGGATTAGTCCCTTGGTAACCCATAGGCAGTTATAAGTTTGCAAAAACTGAATGCATAATAATATTTAATTTCAGAAAGCAGAAAAGGGTGATTAAATAATGTGAAACTGAATCAGCTTATGACCTCAAAACTAAATATAGCTAAGGAAACTGCACAAAAGGGATTATGGAAACATCAAAGAAAATGAAAATGCGCATTACGTTCTGTGTCATTCTGCTGTAGGTCTGTCAATTTCTGGTTTGGTGGTCAGAAATATAATTCTGAATGTGTGTGTGTGTGTGTGTGTATATTAAAAAGCAAGTTGTGTATATATATACTGTATATATATACAGTGGGTACGGAAAGTATTCAGACCCCCTTAAATTTTTCACTCTTTGTTATATTGGAGCCATTTGCTAAAATCATTTAAGTTAATTTTTTTTCCTCATTAATGTACACACAGCACCCCATATTGACAGAAAAACACAGAATTGTTGACATTTTTGCAGATTTATTAAAAAAAAAAAACTGAAATATCACATGGTCCTAAGTATTCAGACCCTTTGCTCAGTATTTAGTAGAAGCACCCTTTTGATCGAATACAGCCATGAGTCTTTTTGGGAAAGATGCAACAAGTTTGTCACACCTGGATTTGGGGATCCTCTGCCATCCCTCCTTGCAGATCCTCTCCAGTTCTGTCAGGTCGGATGGTAAACGTTGGTGGACAGCCATTATTAGGTCTCTCCAGAGATGCTCAATTGGGTTTAAGTCAGGGCTCTGGCTGGGCCATTCAAGAACAGTCACAGAGTTGTTGTGAAGCCACTCCTTCATTATTTTAGCTGTGTGCTTAGGGTCATTGTCTTGTTGGAAGATAAACCTTCGGCCCAGTCTGAGGTCCTGAGCACTCTGGAGAAAGTTTTCGTCCAGGATAACCCTGTACTTGGCCGCATTCATCTTTCCCTCAATTGCAACCAGTCGTCCTGTCCCTGCAGCTGAAAAACACCCCCACAGCATGATGCTGCCACCACCATGCTTCACTGTTGAGACTGTATTGGACAGGTGATGAGCAGTGCCTGGTTTTCTCCACACATACCGCTTAGAATTAAGGCCAAAAAGTTCTATCTTGGTCTCATCAGACCAGAGAATCTTATTTCTCACCATCTTCTCACCGTACCCACTGTATATACATATACACACACACACACATTCAGAATACATATACATACAGTATGTATTTATAAGACAACACATAAAAATGAAACATATAAACACATACGTGTGTGTGTGTGTGTGTGTGTGTGTGTGTTTTACTTTTGCCTTTGATTTGTTATAAAGAATATCCTACACTATGCTTTGTTATATGTAGATTTGTCTTAAAATCTGATTAATTATGACAAAATTAGGGTGAAAGGTGAAAGCCTGTATTCATATTTAAGGAGGCATTTTCAAAAACATCGGCTTACCCAAACTGAGATTATGTCCTGGCCTTAACACAAAAACAATCCTCTCCTAAGTCTCTAAAATAGCATCATGTGATGTTTTAAACCTCCAAGCGTGGTAGCTTCATATGCATGCCCCGAATAACACTTACATAAGTGAATACTCCAGAAGACGGGGTTTCAAGGATATTCTAAATAATTCGCTTCCTTTGAGATGTCATGTATGATGGGGGCATTATGCGATTGATCTGATACAATACAGCTTTAATCCTATAAACTGGTTTGACGTTTGTTTGAATGAGTTCAGAATCCCTCTTATATGCGTTGGATTGTGGGTGGCTGCCCTGCATTATACAACATGCTTTAATTGATATGAAACAGCTTCTTTATGTTTTACAGGACTGCAACTGATCCTTCCACAGGCGAAATATAGCCTAATCCTCATGGGGATCTGGTGTTCTTGTGATATTATTCAGTCCTCAACTCAGAAAAACTGCTAAAGTTGCTCCCATTACAGCTGCTTCATTGTGTTAGACTGAAGTTACAAGCTCAGACGATTGCACTTGGTTTCTATTTGAGGACAAATGCTTTCATGTTTCCAGTCTTGTTAAAAATGAAATGAAATGATATAACGCATACTTTTGTTCCTCACAATTGTCTGCGACTGTTTAAACTGATGCAGTTTATGGTTCCACTTTTAATGCAGAAGTAAACTTGTGTAACTTTCTCTGTGTTTCCCAACTGTTTACAGAGGACCAGCATGCTTGTCATTATGGTAATGTATATCCAATATATTTCTGTATTTTGTTTTGCCTTTGCTCTCTTGTGTACAATGTGTGACGAATGGAGTGTTGTAAATCATGCCCCTTGAACCCAGAGCAATTCCACGTTTGCAGGCTTTAGACGTGTTTCAAAAATGACTTTCGTTTCGCGAACAAATCGGTTGAACCGATTATTTCTAATGACTCAGTTGAACCGATTATTTCTAATGACTCAGTTGAACCGATTATTTCTAATGACTCAGTTGAACCGATTATTTCTAATGACTCAGTTGAACCGATTCGCAAGTGAGGGGCTACTGGAAAAATCGGCCAACATCCATCACAGCATTTCAATCTTCTCAAATTTGGTTTGATTTGAACACAAAGACTCTTTTGTCCTTTCTCCTTTTCTAAGGCTTTAAATTCCCGCTATTAAATATTTTTCACACTTTTGCATAATTTGACAAAGTCACAGCTTGACTGCATGATGTAGGCTACAATCAAAATACTCGATTCAGTGTTTACTTTGATGTTTCTTTGCCTTCTTACAAATTGCGTGTCCCATATCTCATTGTGACTATTTAGAAAAGAAAACGAGAGAGAGAAAAAACGAGGTTTGTGATGGAAATGACACAACAGTGAGACAGTATAGGCCTAATTTGTGTAAAAATGAACAAATTATTTTCACTCAAGCATTGACATGTTACGTTCATTTCACAGTTTTAAACAATAATTAATAATTATTAATAACAATAAGTAATAATTCACAGAAACACATTTACATAACTAAAATAACACGTTAAATGATTTCTCAGTACCCTAGGCAGTGTTGGGGGTAACGCGTTACAAGTAACGCGAGTTACGTAATCAGATTACTTTCTTCAAGTAACTAGTAACGTAACGTATTACTTTTTGGATCGGTGAATCGTTTTTCAAGGTTTTGGAAAATTAATCGGATTTCCTAAAGCAATGTTCAGATGTGTCGACTGAAGTTTGGTTTTGATCTATGACCGCTGAGCCTGTTTTTAAGAGGTAATCCGCCGCTGAGCTCTAATTGGTCAATTATGTCTATATGTGGGCGGGAACAGCAGTACGTGTGGTCGGGAGCCGTGTCAATCATCTGCGTATAGACACGCCCACCGCCGCTCTCTCAGTGAGCGCCTTCATTGAACGCGCGAGGACGCATTGAATGCTTTCGGATGTCCACTCGCATATATGGCAGGATACAAGCTAACGTAACGCATTACTTTCCAAAAAAAAAGTAACTAAGTAACGCAATTAGTTACTTTTTTAATGGAGTAACTAATGCATTACTTTTAAAAGTAACTTTCCCCCAACACTGACCCTAGGCTATTAAACGGATCGGTGAATCGTTTTTCAAGGTTTTGGAAAATTAATCGGATTTCCTAAAGCAATGTTCAGATGTGTCGACTGAAGTTTGGTTTTAATCTATGACCGCTGAGCCTGTTTTTAAGAGGTAATCCGCCGCTGAGCTCTAATTGGTCAATTATGTCTATATGTGGGCGGGAACAGCAATACGTGTGGTCGGGAGCCGTGTCAATCATCTGCGTATAGACACGCCCACCGCCGCTCTCTCAGTGAGCGCCTTCATTGAACGCGCGAGGACGCAGACGCGGTGCGTGCTTTCGGATGTCCACTCGCATATATGGCAGGATACAAGCTCGAAGGAAGAAAATATGCCAATCTCCGTCATCTTTCATGCGATTTCTGCTGATCTTAGCAGTATTGTAGAGGTGAGGCGCGATGTCTGGCTGCGTAAGGCTGATTGACGGACCGGATCGTTGGCGCGCGCGTTAACGCACAACGGTGTTTTCAGCTCGTGCGTAAACTTTGCAAGAACTTTGCGGCATCTCTTCCTATTTTGACGGGCGAGGTGAAACGGCAGCATAAAGCATGGCGACACAAAACGACTGCTGTGTCAAGGTCTCTTTAAGGTAAGCTCGACTGTCAGAATCTGCCGACTGTAACGTTACATCTGTGCAACCATCACTTCCCATTGTGTTTTATTTAAAACTTCGTTTTATTGTATGTGCTTTATTGATCTTACACGGTTTATTTACATCCGCAACAAAGAGAGGACAAACAGGGCTGTTGCAATTCTCTGGGTGTGTGCTGCGCTAGGTAAGACCCGGGTGATGGGGTGGGCACATGCACAAAGATGCAATATTGCAACCCGGAGAGACTAAAATTGCTTGGATGCCCTAGGGGTAAGCAGATAAACATAAAATTTTCATTTTTGGGTGAACGATCCCTTTAAATACTGCTTGGACACCAACCAGAGTGACCAAAAGTCATCCATTTTCAATGATAATTGGCAACATCGGAGAAAATTCTGCATCAAAATGTCAAAATTAGTGACCCACCAACAGAGATGTTATTGCAGAGGCACCTTATTCTTATGTTAATAATAATGCATGGGAAGAATCGTAACACTTATTTACAGTGTTGCGAGTGATTATATACTGTTCTGCATTTACAGTACATCACGTCATTGCTGTCGTTTGGGAAATGAACTACTCCCCCCCCCCCCCCCCATGATTACTGAGAGAAAAAATATCCTTGCCACAGTGAGAATGTGACCTCAACGTAGCAAGCTCGGCTTCACTTCTCATGAGTTGACCCTTTTTCTACCTCATTTCCTCTTAATCACCATCAAAGCCTGTAGTTGAGAGATTGAGTGTGTTTGTGCCTCTGTGGGTGGGAGTTTGCATCTGTAGTGTGTGTGTGTGTGTGTGCCGTCCCATGGGTGTTTGTCATCTGCAAGCCATCTTTCCTTGCCTCTACCCTTCTGGTGTAGACGTTCTCCAGGAGCGTTGACTCGGCAGCGCTGTTATAATTAAGTGAGAATGTGACCTCAACGTAGCAAGCTCGGCTTCACTTCTCATGAGTTGACCCTTTTTCTACCTCATTTCCTCTTAATCACCATCAAAGCCTGTAGTTGAGAGATTGAGTGTGTTTGTGCCTCTGTGGGTGGGAGTTTGCATCTGTAGTGTGTGTGTGTGTGTGTGTGTGCCGTCCCATGGGTGTTTGTCATCTGCAAGCCATCTTTCCTTGCCTCTACCCTTCTGGTGTAGACGTTCTCCAGGAGCGTTGACTCGGCAGCGCTGTTATAATTAGACACAAAGCAAAAATTTTTTGATTTCTTGCCTGATAAAAGAAGGTTATCCGCTCATTTCCTCTTAATCACCATCAAAGCCTGTAGTTGAGAGATTGAGTGTGTTTGTGCCTCTGTGGGTGGGAGTTTGCATCTGTAGTGTGTGTGTGTGTGTGTGCCGTCCCATGGGTGTTTGTCATCTGCAAGCCATCTTTCCTTGCCTCTACCCTTCTGGTGTAGACGTTCTCCAGGAGCGTTGACTCGGCAGCGCTGTTATAATTAGACACAAAGCAAAAATTTTTTGATTTCTTGCCTGATAAAAGAAGGTTATCCATACTGTGGCGGCAGGCTGTCTGTAGTTGGAGGGGTTTCTTAGGAATCCCTTTGGGGTCTCAAGATAACGCCTCTTATGATTTCATATTTATGGGAGTCTTCTAACATCACTAGCTGTTTTTAGAAATATTCCCCTTTCTCTTTGAACAGATAAGTGCTTGCATTTGACAGTTTGAGAAAGGCATGATCTGTTTATGTGTCTACTGACATGGCTTGATCGTTTCTCCAGGGGCTGGCTGAGAATGCAGGGGTTTGTGGGGGGATCGTGTTAATAGTCGAGGCTCCTGGGAACTAGACTCGTAATTGCCTCGTTTATGAGAATAGCTTCCTCCAAGACTTCAGGGTTAAGCGTTTTGGGGCTTTTAAGATCCTTGGCATCCCCAGGAGTTACATGGTGGAGGTGATCACTAGGTCAGTGACAAATGACAGCGTGAAGAAAAGTCTGTTAAAAGTCTAGTCGCCAAGTTCTTAGAAATGGCCTCTTTGTATTCATGTTGGTTCCATGTGGTTTTAAAAAGACTTTAATTTATTTTTAGGAAAAGTTTAAATTAGTTAAAAATTGACGTAACCAAGTCAGTAGTATTCGCATATTTTCCTTACTACTTGAATTATATATTCGAAGAAGTTTTTTTTTTTTTTTTTTTTTTACATATTAAAAGGTTTTTAACATTTAAAAGTTAAATGTCAAAATATATCCTTATTATTAGTTTATAAATATCTTTGGTTTTGTGGAGACTCACCACATGGCATTTTACAAACCGTCCGAGATTAAGAAACTTTATTGACCTAATTTTTCCGCTGTATCATGGCTGCACCAATGACTTCGATTTGGTGAATGAACATTTTTCAAATATTAATTCAATTTCAACAAAACTGCTTATTTTACATAAATAAAATGTCAAACTATTTTTCTTTTAAAAAATGTCATTCTTCTGATGATGCTCTTTTCGTCAATATAATTTTTTCTTCATCATCATAACATCAGAACAGTTGTAACACCCTGACATTTTAACACTTTATGCCCTTTAAAAATCTAATCATTGTATGGATTTAAAAAAAAAAAAAGTTTTGTGCAAAAAATAATAATAATAAAAAAAACATAAGCGTCATGTCATTGACTCCTCTGTTATTGTCAGTAGTTTATTGAATGTGTTGTGACCTTCGTTGTTTGACTCTTAATAGAGTCTGATCCATTTGGCCATCCATTAAATTCTATTAAGGAACCTGCACAATGCAAGTTGAATATGTATGTACACTGCGCACTGTAGGGCTGCACGATATTGGAAAAAAACTTGCATTGCGATTTTTTTTATTTTTATTTTTTTTTTATTTATTTATTTTTTTTCTGCAATTTTATATATTGCAATATGAAAAAAAAATCAGATGACTTCAATATAGCTCTATTTGGAAAAAAATCATCAATGATTGGGGTGATTTTGTAGGTGAATAAATCAGAATAGGAAATAAACAAATTACAAGCATAGATAAATAACAGAACAAAGATACAAATGAAATAAACAGTGCTTTATATTTTTCAGGTAAGTCTAACAGTATTCCGGTACAGAAATTGAATAATCAAATGTAAAATAACACTGCATAGTTCATTATAAATTAAATCTAACAAATCTGTGTGAAAGCTACAAAAGCGAATTTAAAAAAATATATTTTTTTTGTTTGATTAACATTCATGACAGGAAGCAGGAACATTAAAACTCTCACCATGTCTACACCGGACGCGAGCGGCGCGACGTGACAAAATACAATGAACCCATTATAATCAGTGATGCTGTCAGTCTACACTAGAGCCCGACCGATATGGGTTTTTTGACCGATACCGATATTAGGGAGTAAAAAAAGGCTGATACCGATATATCGGCTGATATTCTTTGTGTATATTATAGTACACTACCAGTCAAAAGTTTGGACACTTTCCCATTTGTGTGTCCAAACATTTG